TTTCCACGGGCTCCAGCCCTGCAGGAGGGGACCTGGGGCCACGCAGACAGCCCTGGCCGTGGGGCCTGACCGTTTCCTGGAGCGTCTCAGAGTGCAGTTCAGTCTCCCCTTGAGAGAGTGTGAGCATCTGCAGTCTGGGGCCACGCAGACAGCCCTGGCCGTGGGGCCTGACCGTTTCCTGGAGCGTCTCAGAGTGCAGTTCAGTCTCCCCTTGAGAGAGCGTGAGCATCTGCAGTCATGCACGCGTGCCTCCGTTCACGCACCCATGCACGCGTGCCTCCGTTCACGCACCCGTGCACGCGTGCCTCCGTTCACGCACCTCCGTTCACGCACCCATGCACGTGTGCCTCCGTTCACGCACCCATGCACGCATCCATTCACTCTTCTGAGCCTTTGGGTGCCGAGCAGAGACCAGCTGCAGCCTGGTGGTGTCTCTCAGAGAGGACCAGCATCTGCGTGGTAATGGGAATGAAGCAGCTGTGGGGTCGGCGGCTTTGCTGGGCACCCAGGAGGGGGACAGTCTGGAAAGGCCTCCGCAAGTGCTGTCCCAGCCGGGGCAGAGGAGCTCGTGGATCATCCCGTTCCACACGGGGCTGTAGGGACGACGTGGGGCATGGTAGGGGAGCGGGGCATGGAAGGCGCTGACCAGCCGGCTGGGCTGGGCGGCACCCACTCCTTCTTCCCTGGGGCACCCAGGGGCTGGCGAGGGGCAGGCACCCGGACTCTGGCCACAGGTCACAGAGTTCAGGGTGCCCAGGGCGCAGGTCCTGGCTGGGAGCCTGACGATGTAACTTGTTATTTTTGAGTCCTCAGCGCGTGGCCGACCACACCAAGCCTTAGTTTCCTCGTCTGCCGAAGAGGACCGTGGTTGTACAGTGACGATGAGAAGCTCCTGGCCACCCCGTCTGACCCAAGCGCCCTCCGCTCTCCAGCTCTGGCCCCTCCTCCCGTCGGCCTTGGAAGGGGCCTGTCACACTGTCTTGCATCTCCAGAGGTAGCGGACAATTTCTGGGATACTCTCAATTTAAACACTCATGCAGCCATGACCGATGGCTTAAACGCATGCAGGGAGGGGTGATGAGAAATCAAGCCGACGGTGACAGGGACCTCCTGCTGGGAGCTGCCCTGGCTGTGACCCCGGACCTTCTGAGGGCTGTGGGGCAGCGAGTCTGCGGGCCAGGCTCCGGCGCTGTCTTCCCAGCCTTAATGTGCCGGCCTTGTCGACGTGCAGACCCGATTCGCACGGCGGGGCCCAGGCCTGAGAACCTGTACTTCTGCCAGCTCCCGGGGTGCTGCCCCCGGGGCCAGGGTCCCTCGCTCTGGAGCATTTCCCTAGGGGACAGCCTTCTTCCCATCTGGGGGCCCCATGCTGGTTTGGGAACGCACGTCCTCTGCCTGGACCACCCGGGGGGCCCAACCCGAAGCCCCCGTCTACCCACCTTGTTGATGACCTCCACCTTGATCTCTTCCTCGTCGGCAATGGCCTTCTCCTTGCTGACCTTCTCGGTTTCCACGCCCACCACCTGGATCAGCTTGTCTGCGTTCTCATTCTTCTGCTTCAGCTCAGCCTCCTGAATCGCCAGCTTGGCTTTTAAATCGTCCACCTGTGGGAGGAGACACCAGGAGACAGGCAAGCTTGGGCCGGGCCACCGCACGCTGCCCTCCACTGGGACAGGCCAGTGGCCATGGCAGCCATGGGGCCGAGCAGAGCAGCAGGCCCTACGGCTCATTTAGAAGCATCTTTCAACTTCTCCAAGCGAAGAATTCATGGAGCACCCACCCGCTGTGCACCCGCTGTGCCTCCAGTGTTAGACACATTCCCGTTACTAAAGGTTGGCAGTCCAGGTGGCCCAACGGGCCGAGGGGTTCTCAGCAGGCTGGCGCGCCGCAAGAGAACGCCTGGCCCCAGGGACAAAGCGTAGCCTCAGGAGCACGTGCGAGGCCCCAGGCCCGGCCGGCGGGAGGGCGTGCGGGCAGCGCTAAGTGATGGGCGATGCTCGCCCCAGTCTCTGCAGCTCCCGCCACAAGCAGGTGGCTCTGCTGCTACAACCGTCTGCACTGGGAGCACGTGCCGAGTCCCGGGACCGGGGCCGGGGCCAGAAGGGACCTTGGAAAAAAGCAGCGGCCTGCTGGGTGGGCCAGCCCTGGGCCTCTGAGCAGCCTCCTCCCGTCTCCGTCTCCGCAGAGCTCCGTGCCCCTCCTGCCGCATGGGCGTGGCCTCGGCCCGCCCTGCGCTGTCCAGCGCTGCCTGTGGTTCAGTGGGGCTTCCGCTAGAGCTGGGGTTCGGGCGCCGGCCCCTCGGGGGCAGAAAGGCTGGGCCGCCCCGTTTGTGCGCCCCTCTGCCGATCACACCCCGGCAGAGGGGGTGGCGGCTGTTCACCGGGCTCCCTTGGATACTGACAGGGGCCATAAGGGTGAAGAAGCCGGGACTACACGTCGAGGACATTTAAAGCCTGCAGAAAACCTAAAACTTAGGACGTCCTGAAACTAACTGAGTGTGGCCGAAGCCTTTCCTTCCGGGCACCACGGCCAAGGGCGTTCCGGGGTGGACGCATTTTCACGGGTGCCCCCCTCCTCCCCGCTCCCGCCAGACACGGGGCCGACGTGAGCGCTCAGCACGGCGTTGGCATCCCGAAAACGCTCGAATCCGCCTGTTCCGTCGCAAGCCGTGCTCGCTCTCTGAGTTTGAGAGCGGGAGTTTCTGCGGGGCGGGAGCCCTGTCCGTCTTCCTTCCTGGCGTGCAGGCGGGGGCGGCGGGGGCCCGGGAAGGTTCCGGAACCTGCCTCCGAGGCCCTGCCCACCCTACCTGAGAAGCTGTGCTCTGCAGCTTCATCAGGCCGTTCTCCAGCCTCTCGATTTTGGCGACCAGCTCCGTTCTCTTCTTGGCCAGCAGGTTCTGGTAGAGTTTGATCTGCTCCAGGAAGGTTTTGGGCGTGGTGTAGTTGTAGCGCCTCTCGGTGGCCAAGTACACCTTGGACATCTCGTTGACCGTTGTGTGCACGTAGGCCATGAAGTGGCTGATGGAGGCCTTCACTTCTGGCTGCAAAGGCAGGATCGGCTGTTCACTCCCTGCTCCCATCCTGGGGGACCCTGGCCTCCCTCTTGGAGGGGCCCGGGGAAGAGGAGGCTGCCGGCCCCCGGGAATCGCAAGGTGGGGCTTCCCTCACTCGCCGGCGACCCTGGATGAGACGCGGCCCCTCCCCCGACCTGGGCGGTTCGAGGGGCAGATGAGGTGCCGCCAGCCGGGGCTGTCGTGGACGCTGGTGACGCTGTGCCACCCAGGGCTCAGTTCAGTGCCAGGACACATCGGAGCTGATCACTGTTCTCACCTCTGCGTGTCACACACACCCACACACATCGGAGCTGATCACTGTTCTCACCTCTGCGTGTCACACACACTCACACACATCGGAGCTGATCACTGCTCTCACCTCTGCGTGTCACACACACCCACACACATCAGAGCTGACCACTGTTCTCACCTCTGATCACTGTTCTCACCTCTGCGTGTCACACACACCCACACACATCGGAGCTGATCACTGTTCTCACCTCTGCGTGTCACACACACTCACACACATCAGAGCTGATCACTGTTCTCACCTCTGCGTGTCACACACACTCACACACATCAGAGCTGATCACTGTTCTCACCTCTGCGTGTCACACACACTCACACACATCAGAGCTGATCACTGTTCTCACCTCTGCGTGTCACACACACTCACACACATCAGAGCTGATCACTGTTCTCACCTCTGCGTGTCACACACACTCACACACATCAGAGCTGATCACTGTTCTCACCTCTGCGTGTCACACACACTCACACACATCAGAGCTGATCACTGTTCTCACCTCTGCGTGTCACACACACTCACACACATCAGAGCTGATCACTGTTCTCACCTCTGCGTGTCACACACACTCACACACATCAGAGCTGATCACTGTTCTCACCTCTGCGTGTCACACACACTCACACACATCAGAGCTGATCACTGTTCTCACCTCTGCGTGTCACACACACTCACACACATCAGAGCTGATCACTGTTCTCACCTCTGCGTGTCACACACACTCACACACATCAGAGCTGATCACTGTTCTCACCTCTGCGTGTCACACACACTCACACACATCAGAGCTGATCACTGTTCTCACCTCTGCGTGTCACACACACTCACACACATCAGAGCTGATCACTGTTCTCACCTCTGCGTGTCACACACACTCACACACATCAGAGCTGATCACTGTTCTCACCTCTGCGTGTCACACACACTCACACACATCAGAGCTGATCACTGTTCTCACCTCTGCGTGTCACACACACTCACACACATCGGAGCTGATCACTGTTCTCACCTCTGCGTGTCACACACACTCACACACATCAGAGCTGATCACTGTTCTCACCTCTGTATGTCACACACACTCACACACATCAGAGCTGATCACTGTTCTCACCTCTGCGTGTCACACACACCCACACACATCAGAGCTGATCACTGTTCTCACCTCTGCGTGTCACACACACTCACACACATCAGAGCTGATCACTGTTCTCACCTCTGCGTGTCACACATGCTCACACACCTGCGTCCCTGGCAAAGCACAGGGCCCGACGGTGCTCAAATGACCCGGGCTGCTCAGCCGGCATTTACCGTGCGTTTTCTGTGCTGGGTCCTGGGGTTTCGGTGGCTCCTTTCCCAGCCTGCTCTGTGCCCCCTCCATGCCAGGGTCACGTCTTCCACCACCTGCGCCCACCCCACCTGCCCAAAGACAGGCACTGGGAGCTTTGGCCCAGGAATTGTCCAAGTGACGTTAATTTTAATTCAGGTTAATTTGGAAACGTGTTCGTCCATCGGGTGGGGGCGGGGGCGGCATTTCCTGCTCCCAGGAAGCCTGTCTTGGGGGTCAAAGACCCACATCTACATTTCACTCGGGGCACAGATGGAACGCCGGTCGTAACTGCGGCCAACCCTGAAAGTGAGCACCCTAAAGACGACAAGCAGGGGATTCTACCTGTCTTTAAAAACTGGGGGAAAGTTAACTTCAGGTTTATTTTATCCTCCCAAATAACAATGTCTGTTCGAAATAAATGAAACGTGGTGACGAAGTGTGACTTATCCCAGCCTGCGGCCCTTCCCCCACCTTGGCTGGCACACAGGTCACTGCTAGGCCAGCAGGGAGCACGGACGGTGAGCGTGGCCACCGTCTCTCAGTAGAAGCAAGACCCTTTAGAAGCAAAGCAGAGGGGGCTTACATCCCCAGGGTCCTGGTCTCGCCGTCTAAGAGGGGCAGGTCCAGGTGGGCGGGGCCGTGCCGGGGCCCGCGGCCAGAGGAAGAAGGACGCCCGTGGGCCCTCGTGTCCGTGATGCGGTCTCTCCGATCAGCCCTGCCAGGGGCTGTGGGCACACGGGCGTCTACCTTCCTGAGCCGGCCTTGTGGGGCCGGGAGCCCCGCGCTGGTTGAGTGACTCTGCCCCCCCCACAGTAACACGGGGCCGAGAAGCCGCCACAGCAGCCCGCGTCTGTTTGCAATTTCGTCCCCTGGGAATTTTTTAACATCAGTATTGGTTTTTAAAACGTCGCATCAAGATGTCACCAGTCTCGATTACTGAGGTTTTGGGTGCTCCTTACATTGTGCACCAAAGGCGAGTTCCTTGCTCACCTCACCCAAATCCCGGCCCCAGAGGCAGAGGGTGGGGATCCTCCTGGCCCCGTGAGCGTCAGCACAGGGGTGACGGAGGGTGACGGAGGGTGACGGAGGGTGACGGGGGGTGACGGAGGGTGACGGGGGGTGACGGGGGGTGACGGGGGGTGACGGAGGATGCCGGGCCCCAGTGACACACCTGGATCCCCTCGGTCTCCTCCAGGAAGCGGGCGCTGACGGACACCAGGGCGTCTTCCGGCCACTCGTGGAACCAGTCGATGGCCGTGCAGTTGACCACGGCTGGGAACTTCCTCGCCCGCACACGCAGGACGGAGCCCACGGGGGAGAAGCACAGGATCACCTGGATGCAGGGCACAGAGGGGCTGCTCAGAAGGCCGGTGGCGCCGAGGCCGATCACGCCGCTGGGCAGGACGCTCACTTAGCCAGAAAAGCTCCACGTGGTCTCGGGTCCCAAAGTCTGGGGAGCACATGCCGGCTTCAGGGTCGGAGGCCTAGGCTGGCACTGAGGTGGGTGTAGGGTCGGCCCCACCCCCCCGGAGTGGCCTTGGAAACGGGGACCGAGTAGGGGATGGGCGTCCACGGCAGACGGAGGAGGAGGCCGAGGCCGAGGGTCACTATCCCATGAGCAGGTCTGGTCTCCGGGGGCACGGAGCCTCCTCCAAGCCCCCGAGGACGGTGGCTAATTCCCAGACAGACTGGACTCCCTGGGACCCAGCCACAGAAGGGGCTGCAGACACGGCCCCAGGCACCCTCCGGGGCGGGGACCTCTCTCATGGTGGCCTCGGCCACATTACAAGTGGCCTCTCCTTGTCATGTTCCTCCTTTCCCAGGCATGGTGCTGGCTCACTGGAGGTGGCCGCCCCACCGAGGAAGGGGCCAGGGGCAGGGAGCACCTGTGGGGGACCCTTGCCCCCCAACGACGTAGCCGATTGGACTGGGTCACCAGACAGGGGCGACAAAGAAACTCGCTTCGTAGACTGCATGGAGCAAGGACTGAGAGCCAGCAGCAGGTGCTGTGGGGTTGGACCGTCCCCCGCAAGGGCAGTGGCCACCTGGCCACTAACCGGGTAGTTAGTTCAGTCCCTTCCCCTGAGAGGGAATGCTGAAGGTACTCACGCATTCAAACTTGCTGTGCGTGTGCATGTGCGTGTGCGTGCGTGTGCGTGCGTGTGCGTGTGTGTGTGTAAAACGCTTACTTTGGCCACCAGACCTCTAGCAGCACTAACCGGGTAGTTAGTTCAGTCCCTTCCCCTGAGAGGGAATGCTGAAGGTACTCACGCATTCAAACTTGCTGTGCGTGTGCGTGCGTGTGCGTGCGTGTGCGTGCGTGTGCGTGTGTGTAAAACGCTTACTTTGGCCACCAGACCTCTAGCAGCCCACGCCCATCAGGCCGCCCCAGCACCCTCTCCTAACAGATTTCCTTACCCCGGGAGGGACCCCCCCCACCCCCACCGCCCTGGGAGGCCCAGGGGCCCTGCGGGGACGGGACCGGCACCTTGAGCTGCCTGCGCACTTTCTCGATGAAGAATTTCCAGCAGGTTTCCCGCGTGTCGTTCATGCCGATGGACTTCACCTGTGGCCGCATGGACGAGATGATGTTCTCCACCTCGTCGTCCGCGAACAGCCCCGGGATCTCCCCCGAGGCCAGCAGGTCATTGATCAGCACCAGGAACTGCTCCTCGGCCACCTGGGAGTCCGTCATCAGGAACACCGAAGGGACATTCTTCACCGCCGACTTGATGTACTGAGCGCTCAGGTCCGCCTGTGCCCGGGGGGACATGCGGAGAGTCTGCGGCTGGAGGGTGCTCGGTCAGGAGCCTCCCCGTGACGACGCGCGGGGGACACGGGGAGGTCAGCGTCCCCGGCAGCGTGCAGGGTCTGTGGAGGGCAGCACCGCCCACCGGCAGGTGCATGGGTCAGCGCCGTGCGGTCTGTCCTCACGGTCATTCAGCCACCAGACGCAAGGACATCCTGACCCACGGATGAGCCTGAGGACGATATGCCAGCCGCGAAGGGACAAATGCTGTACGATCCCACTCACACGAGGTCCCTAGACACTCAAATTCGTAGAGACAGGAAGTGGAAGGGTGGGTGCCAGGGGCTGGGGGAGGGGGAGTTATGTGTAATGGGCACAAAGCATCTGGGAGCTCCCTGGAGATGGCGGTGGTGACGGCCGCACTGCGCCGTGAGCGTGCCTAACGCCACCGAGCGCTGTGGTTAGGACGGGAAACTGTGTGCTACATGGGGTTGGCACACGCACAAAGGGAAAAAGCCCTGAAACGGAGACCCCAAGACAGGCCCCGAACACGTGCACCGCAGGCTCGGACCAGGAGACTGGACACGGGAGGCCCTCCCTATGCGCACGGCACCGCTGTCCCAAGTGGGGTTTAGAGGTGACGTGACCGATACTCGCGTGGTGTCTGGACGCGCGGACAGGGAGAGCAGTGAGTAGCTTGCTCTTTTTGAAAAATGCTCCAACTTATGCGTGAAAACACACACTGGAAACGTCTGTCAGTGTCATCCGAGTATTGGTGTGACTTTTCGAGGTTTCGGTGATTTGCTCATCTGCGATCTCTAATTTTCCTCTGAGACCTCTGGGCCTCTGTCATTCTTTAAAAGGCTTTAAAAATGTCCGTCGTAGGTGTCCCAAGCGGCTCGGCTTTGCCCTCTGGAAGTGAGACCGTGTCCCCGGCGTCTCTCTGTTCAGAGAAAAACGTCGCCAAGGTCCCTGAGCTGGAGTCGACGGGCGTGTAACTGGGGTCGAAAGCAAGCCTCGAATTTCCCATTTTTTGACAAGCTAAAAAAAATTCTTGAAGGGAAGCCCCGAGCTTGGAGAGCAGAGGCACAGGTGGGGTCCCAGCTGTGGACCTGACTGTCCACGCGGGCCCAGTGGTCATCCCGGGCAGCAGGACCGCGGCTGGGAATGACTCGCGGGAAGCTGTGAAGTTCGTCCACGTAGAGAGTTCGGATCTGGTCAGACCGGGCTCGGGCTCGGGATCCTGGCCGGAGGGAGCGAAGCCGGCCACGTCGGGTGCCGGCCGGAGCGGCCGATTCCGGAAAGGCCGGTGGCCCTCGAGGCCTGGGCGCTGTCTCGCAAAGTCGCCCTTCCCAGGGGACGCCGGCATCTGCCGCACCTTCTTAGGCCGCAGACGCCTGTCCCCAGAGTGCCACCTCCACCGTTCCCCGTCCTTGCCGACGCCCCGCGTCGTTTCGCGTGGACCGTCCCCTCCCGGGTGTCCCTGACTCCTCAGACGCGCTCACGGGGTCCGTCTCCTCGGCTTCCCCCACGCTTGTGACCTGGCCGCCTGGTCCTCCATCCTCGTTTCTCGTCTGGTCGGAGGGGCCACCGTGCTCGTCAGCGCCCCAGCTGCAGACATCATCTTCAGCTCCGGAAGCTGAGCTGCTGTGGGTCCCTTCTCCACTTGCCATCACCATCGGGCCTGCAGTGCACGGTTCTCTAGGGACAGCGTTGACGGAGGGACACCTGCTCCCTGCTCTGGCACTTCCCCTCATCATTGCGGGGAGGGAGGGAGGGAGGGAGGGACATGGAGCCACATTCGGGAGAGAGTCTCGGGAAAGGGGGCGGAAGGGGCGTGACCACAGGTATGAGATGGACAGTGAGCTTTCCCAGCCTATGTCACAGAGCACAGATCACAGGGTCAAGCCTCCGCCCGCCTCCTCTCGGTCTGACGGCTGCCCCTTGGCCCTCGAGTCCAGTGTCCGCTGGAAGTCAGGGGGGCCGCCTGAGCTGCTTAGTCCAGGGCCCGGCCCCCCACTCAGCTTACAGGGTTTCTTCCTGGGTTTCTTTGTCCCTTTTTATTCCTGTGCACATTTTCCCCAGGCCCGAGAGTCCAGCCACTGCCCGGCCCGGGGACTGTGTGGGGTGGGCGTGGGGAGCTGGGCCCAGGCGTGGTGGGCTCCAGGCTCGGCCTCCCTGGTCCACACGCCCCATCGGCGCAGCCCCCGTCCGTCCACTGCTGGGTTCTCGCTCACGTCCCTCCCTGCCCCCTTCCCGCTGTGCGGCTGATTCCGGCCTTCGTGGGGGTCACTGGGGCTTCCGCGGCACCTCCCGACGCTGCTGTCTCCGAACCAGCCTCTGCTCTGTCCAGGCCTTGCCTCTCCTCTGCTCGCACATCTTGATGGCATCTCATTTTCTTGGGACCATGCTGTCCCTCAGGGTTGGATCCCGACCCCTTTCCTGCTGCATCTCTAGCCTCCCGTGGGCGCCCACAGCTTATGGCACAGGCTTTATACCCTATTACGTCGTCGAGGACGCGTATGTCACAGTATGACACGTGCACTGTGAACCTCTTCCTCTGACACTATTGTTAGAGCAATAACAACACATCCGATAAACCACGTCAGTTCAGGAGCCTGTTTCCCCCGATAAGGGTGTGAGGCCCTGTAGCCCAGTCTGTCTCTGTCCTGACCTCTGAATCCGCACGAGCCGCTCAGTAGGTGATCATGAAGGACTAGGGGGCAGCGGGTTCGCCGTGGGTGCAGGGGTCACGACCGCAGAGCTGCTGCAGCTCACGCCTATGACGAAAACGATACGATGAGGACCCGGCACCCACGACTGGCCCTCAGGCGAGGTGTCAGGAACGAAACCCCCACGAGGACAGAGAAGAGTGTGACATAATCGTGAAAACGAACCGATACGATTAGGCTCACAGACTGGAAGCTTCGACAGAGAAAACGCAGTGACACGGTTGGCTAGTCTCTCGACGGGGGAGTGGAATCCACTGGGACAGTGACAATCAGGAGCCGGAGGCTTATTCAGTTGCCGTCCCGGGCAGAGCCCGCCTGGCAGTGCCAGAGCAGGGCTGACAAGGAGCCCTGTCACCCTTCACAGGGTCTCTGCCCGCGGGCCGCCCCGTCCCTCCCGCCGAGACCCAGGGCACCAGGCTCCAGACGCGTCCTGCCAAAGCCGCCTGGCGAGGACTGCCAGGGCCACGTGTGGTGGGGAGGGTCCCCCTGGCTCTGGCATCGTCCTGGCCCCCAGCAGCAGCCCCAGCATCGGGGTGGAGGGGACATGGCCACGTGACCCGGGTATGTGAACTTCTGCTCTAACCGCAGGCACCACGATGCTTCGTTCTGGACGTAGTGTCTTTGACTAGCACACGGCTGCCGAGAGAGCGACTTTTCCGGAAAGGAGATCAATAGAAAGCCTCGGTCCTGCGTCTTGGGACGGGAGACCAGTTTACGCTAATGTTTATTTCATCAGTTCAGACAGCGGCCGTCCAGAATCTTGAGCACGCAGTGACGCTTCGTAGTGGTTCTGAATTATTTAATCCGCAGAAGTGGGAGCACGGCTGAACAGCTCGGTGACCGGAGCAACGAGCAAATCCTTTGCCGCTATTACCTGCGGTGACGTCACAGACTCCAACCTCCCAAGCGGCCGAGACCCACACTCCCTTTCGCTTTCGTCGCCTGGGCGTGGGCGCTGACCACGTCTCCTGGCCTTTCCTGTCTGAGATGCAGACCCTGCCGTGCTGGTGGCAGGTGTGGTGTCTGCGCTGGCTGCCTTCGCTTTGGGAGGAGGGCTGGTGAGAGGTTTCCCCGCTCTCCCCTGCCCCCCGCCCCGACCCCCGACAGCGGCTCGTTGAGCAGCGGCATCTCACCTTGAGGTCGAGGACCGCGTAGCCCTTCTTGAGGGTGATCTGGAACACCTCCAGAGAACTGATGTAGGCGGCCAGGCGCGAGAGGCTCTGCTTGCCGCTGCCGCCCACGCCCACCAGCAGGGCGTTCCCACGGGGGGCCTCCAGGATTCGGTTGATCCTGCAGATGTGTGCCACGGCGTCCTCAAACAGCACCTGCACCAGCCGGGCACACGTCAGCTTCCCCACTGCGTGTGGACTTGCCTCCCGCGGACTGCGGTCTCCTGCGGTCCCCGGCAGCCCCCAGCGGTATCTGCCACGGGCCGTGTGGCCCGGAGCACGTTGAGGTGACAAGAGAGGGGGCCCGCGTGCAGGCCCTCACCCACGCTGTCGGGGCGAGCACCGCCTACCAAGTTCATGACCGCGTTGACCTCGTTGTAACTGTCCAGGACGTCCACTAGGAGCTTGTTCAGGTGAGCCACGTCGGTGACCGGGAGGTATTTGGCCTCGCCGACCCCTTGAGCGAAGTGGCAAAAGATGTTCGGTCTGGCGAATAAGAGCTCATCGCCAAGGTCCTGTTGATAGGAGACAAGACACTACTAGCATTATCCGCGGCCCCAGCACCTTGCCATGTGCTCTGGGCCAGGCCAGGTCCCCAGGGGCCCAAGCCGCTGCTGTCAGGGGCCCTGCAGCCCTGGGCAAATCTACCTGGTGGGATGGTTCAATCTCCACCACGTGAGGAATAAGCCGACAGTCCAAAAAAACCCGAATCCACTTAGAGAATCTGAGACAGCAGAGGGCACTGACCTTTGTCCATTGGCCATTATCCCTTAAGATACTGGCTGAGTCTCACGCTCTCCTTTTTTCATTGGCTCCAGTCACATAAATGTGAGGTCTTTTCCTTGTGTCTAATATGCATTTTATGTCTATTTCTGTATTTTCCATCCTGTCTTTTATTGGGCGGGGCCTCTCTCCACCCCAAGTGGATAGAGAGGGGGTCAGCACACGGGGACCCACTGAGGGGTCAATTCCTTCTTGCTCAGACCCACACCCGTGTGGGACTCCACGTGGCCCTTCCCACCCCCACACGGGGGGCTCCTCCAGGAGGGCTGGGGTCGCTCGCGGCCCGGACACTGCCTGATTAGGGCACTGCCGGGCTCAGCAGAGGGACCCGGTGGCCTGACGTACGTCGAAGAATTTCTTGGTGGACGCCATGGTGACCCTGCGCAACGTTTCCTGGTCCTTCTCATCGACCATTTTGTCGCCATACACCCTCTCGGCTTCGTGCAGCCAGAGGCGGACGAGGTCCAGTGGGGTTCTCAGGATCTCGGCTGTGGAGAACAAGAGCCCCTGCCCCAGGCGCAGGGAGGTCATACGCGGCAAGACCAGGGCTGTGTGTAGGTCAGGCGAGAAAGCAGCCGCTTCCCCGGGGAGCGGGCCTCGCCGCTGCGGCTCGGGGCCAAGGACGCCGCCGACTGCCACGCCCACACAGACCCTAGCAGCTGGAGGCTGGAGAGGTGTGGGGGGAATTGTCCTCACGAGACAAGGGCAGGGGCTTCATCCTCTAGTGGGATGGAGGGTGGACAAGGGACAGAGGAGGCTGATCCTAGGGGAACCAGACCATTGAAGGCCGCCGAGCAGTAGGCTCCTGCTTGGGCTCTGCAGCCAACATGTCCAGTCCTGGCTCGGCCTTTTAGCAGCCGAGTGACCTGGCAAGTTCAGC